TGTAGCCAACACTTCTTAACCAAGCGCCCAGGTGAGCTCACCACATACAGAACATGGACTCACTACACCTGCCACAGGTGAGTAACAATCTGCATGCTTCATGACTGCTGTCACCCAAAAAATGTTGGAGAACCAATGTTGCTGTTTTTGTTAGTTTGTTTGTCTGTTTTGTTTTGTTTAGTTTTACTTTGAATGATATTCCAAAACCTGCAGTTCTCAAGGGTACATGAAATGCAGATTTTGTTGTTTTTGCTTCTCTGTACTAATATAATGGTAACTTGTGTTGCTATTATTTGTGGTGCTCCTACTGTGAGCATAGTAGCATATGTTATTACTGATATGGCAATATAAAATTATATATTTTTTTATTTTAAATGAAAGAATGTTAGTAAAAATATTTCATTATTTATTATTTCAATTAAAAATTATGTAGCCATACTGTAATAGACAATTCTAGAAAATGGAAGTAAATTATAGATAAAAGAATAATATGATGTAATATCAATACATTAATATACATTATGTTAAATAATAGTTCATTAATACATTCCAATAGAAAACTGATGAAATATAGTTTAATAATTATTTAGCTTGTGTCTCTCTGACTGTGTGAATGGAATTTTACTGCAGCTAGAGCATGTGACAATACGATCAATAGCCCAGCATGTGGGGAAAGTGGACATGTTTGTGGGTGGATGTGGGATATTCATTAACTTATTGTATTGTTAGCTGACTGTAATGGTGATTATGAGAGTTGAGAGAATCCCGTGCATGTTTTAAATATTGACAGTATTCAGAAGCAAACCTGCATAGAAGATTCGGAAATAAATCTTAACATAATGTTTTATTTCTTTTTCCTTTTTTCAGCCAGTGACTCCTCAGAACAAATGCCATGATGACCATGATGAGACACATGGAAATGAAAGCAAAGGTATGTTTCACACTGTACGAAATGCAACAGAAGGCCACTGATGAATGAAAATAGCAGTTACATGTTTTTTTTTTTTTATAGCTATTCAAAAAGGAAAGTAAATGTATTGTATTTAACGTTTTTGTCTGTTTCAGAGGTCAAAGCAAGTTCTGCATATTTCACTGTGGCTTTGATTGAGGGGAAGCCAGAGGACACATGGGACCTGCCAGAACTGAAGGATACTGGAGTCCCATGGTCAGGTGAAGACTTGTTACATCCCTGTACCATTATTGTTAATATAAGTGTTGTCTTGTCTTTGTAACGTTAACCCTATAAAACCATTTGTATTATATTTGCTACGGTAGTTTCTGAGCAAAAAAAAAAAGTTGCCAAAATGCCCCATGTATCAAAGGTGATACAAAAAACTAAAATAAAATATTATGGCACATTTATTCCTATATGCCTGGACTGTCTGTCTATGCATAAATGGCAATTAAAAATCTTGAATCTTGAATTTTATTTTGGATTTTGTTAAAAGGTTTAATAAACATCTCAGTTCCAAAAAATTAGAATGTTCTGGCTATTTTTGATGTGTCAGGCTTTACAGGGTTAAAATAACATATCTGTGCTGACATATGCACACAGGGATTTTGTATTTTCACATTTTAAGCTGTAAAACAATAAAACAGGAAAGCCTCTAAGGTCAGTGAGTACCTTTTATGAGCTGTTATTAGATGAACATCTGAGACATTGCTGTCACATCTGAAGAACAGCAAATCAGATCAGTGTTATTAATCTGATAATTTAGAAAGCATAGAGGTCATAAACAATAATGGATGTGATCCAGAGCATAGTCTGACAGATGCCTGAGTTTTCACCCAGACTTTATAAACGATATGGTTTTTAAAGTGAGATAAGACCCACTTTTGAGGCAATCAGCACCTTTAAAGTTATTTGTTATTTCATGTGGGAGTTACTAATCCAATATGAGTGCAATTGTATTTATTTATGATTAATCAGAATCAGCTTTATTGGCCACGTGTGTCAAACACAAGAGGAATTTTATTCAAATACAGTAGCTCTCAATGTGTATGTACGATGTTCTTCTGTAAGGCAATGAGTAAACAAGATAAGACTGAGAGAACAAGAAAAGAAAAAGAATGTGCCAACAAGAAAAGGAATGTCCATTAGGAAATAAAAAATCAAAATAAAGTACTTATAAATATAAAATATGCATACACACAGTTCAGATGTTATTTTTCAGATAGATATTTACAAGGTATTGCACTGAGGGTTGTTGTTCTGTCATACAGTCATGGTTAAGTGTTCATCATTGTGATGGAAAGAAAGAAACAGTCCTTGTGTCTGGTTGTTTTGGCATACAGTGACCTTTAGCGCTCTTCAGAGGGGAGGAGTTCAAACTGTTTGTGTCCAGGATGTGAAGGGTCTGCAGATTAATGATTAATGGCAGTGTCATTGATTGGCACAATCTTATCAAATTTATTTTATGGCAAGTTTACAGTATTAATAATGCTGGTGGTTTCCTGATATGATACGGCAAAATATCTGTTTAGCAAAATGCCCATAAATAAGAAATCGGATGAATCTTTAAAAATGCTAATAAATAACAGTAAATACAGTTTTAAAATATTTTTTTTTCATTCTGTTTAACTTTGTTCATTTATTGACTCAGCTCTGGATACCAGAGGGAAGATGTTGAAAGTGCTGGTGTCACTGGTGAAGCTGGTTCTGCTGCTGGGTTTCCTCTACATGTTCATCTGCTCCCTTGACATCCTCAGCTCTGCTTTCCAGCTTGTTGGAGGTAAACATACTAACACTTGTCTGAACTTATGGGTGACTGCAATAATAATATAGCAGACATTTTGACTCATCATAGTGCCATCAAAACAGGTGGAGCTAATAACACTGAAGGATGGGTTCAAAATGTTGTCTTTAAACAATAGGCAGATGCCCATAGTCCCTCTGCTCATAGATTAGTGGTCTACTGTACCTTCAGTCACTTTCGTCCAGTGACTAACCATAGCATACTGCGCTGTGAAGTAGAAACTATGTGAAACAGCACTTTCTGACAATGTACATGCTCCTATGCTCTTCTTATCAGGTAAAACAGCAGGTGACATTTTTCAGGACAACTCAGTTTTGTCCAACCCTTTGGCTGGCCTGGTTATTGGTGTTCTAGTGACTCTGCTGGTTCAGAGCTCGTCCACTTCCTCCTCCATAGTTGTCAGCATGGTCTCCTCTGGCTGTGAGTACAAGGTTTCATACTAAATATGCACACACACACACACCCACATCCATGCACAGAAAAACACTCAGTACTATGATGATGCTGGAGGTGTGGAGGAGAGGAAGAAGGAGGACTGATGATGAGGAATACCTGTGTTCTTTTGCAGTGCTAACGGTCCAGGTAGCTGTTCCTGTCATCATGGGCACCAACATTGGGACCTCTGTCACCAACACACTAGTTGCGATGATGCAGGCTGGTGACCGCAGCACCTTTCGCAGGTGATCATTTTGTGTATCATGGATAGCTCCCTTTTACACCCTTCCTCTGCAAGTCAGAAACACAGCAAAAATTCTAACATAACATGCGACAACACATACATAGCTCAATATTTAAGTAACAAAATTTACTTTTATTGCCATCAGAGAACAACCTGTACATCATATCCTAAATGTCAACTTTCTATGAATTAAGAAAACAGCTGGACAATGATATAAAGCTGTCAATTACAAGATCATTACAAAGGTCATTTCACTTTTCATTGATTGACCTGCTTTCACAATGCATCCAGGGCTTTTGCTGGGGCCACAGTGCATGACTTCTTCAACTGGCTGTCTGTGCTGGTGCTGCTACCTCTGGAGGTCGCCACTGGTTATTTGTACGTGGTCACAAAGCTCATCATCGACTCCTTTAGAATCCAGAGTGGAGAAGCCCCAGACCTGCTGAATGTGATCACTGATATCCTCACTGAGTCGATCATACAGGTAAAGTGGTGATACTGTTGCCACTTGTTCAAGTCAGAAGAAAATTGCTACAATAGGACATTCAAGACATACTGGTGAGATACTGGTGAGAAACGCAGAATATAAACATAAGAAAGGTTTTAATTGCTGTTTTAAATATCTGAAAGGCTTTATTTATTTAGGATGACACCATTACATTTTAGAAATTTGGCTCATTTCGAGGTTCTATCTTCATTATAGGCCAGGTTACGGCAGAAAATATGCATTAAAAGGAGATGTAAATGTTAAGTTTAAATGGCTGTCAGATTGAGAATCTGGATCTGGTCTGGTGGTAGCCGTTGCCACCCTACATACTGTGTCAAATTTCAAATTATTTTGAAAACTTTTGATGGCGATATGAATTTTTAAATTTCCCCCCCATGTTAAAGATGGGAATTTTTGTCTTTTTTTTATTTTTTGTGACCTTAACCTTTGTACTCTTTCAGCCAAAATCTAATTAGTTCTGGGGTTGGTCCACACAAGTGTTTGTACCAGTGACTAGAAATTGAATAGAAATTGACTGCGAGTATTTGGGATCGTTAGAACTGCATTTTGTACTTCCTAGAGGAAACCAACAGTGTATCAGAGAGATAAGATGCCATCATATCTATCTACAAAGTGGTTATACAGTTCTGTCTGTTCTTTATCCTTCCCTTTTACTTAGCTGGATGAGTCTGTCATTAGTGGGATTGCCGTCGGAGACCCAGAGGCCAGGAATAAGAGTCTCATCAAGAAATGGTGCCAAACCTTCACCAACACAGTAAGATCATAACCTGTCAGGTACACAACAAATGCTCAAAGAGATCAAGATTCACATTTTTATTGTCAAACTGTAACTTTCAGACCTTAATGAACGTTACAGTTCCCGGTCCAGAGAACTGTAACTCTCTGTCTCACTGCTGGGTTGACGGCAACTACACCTTCACACTGAAGAACATTTCTGAAACATACAACATCCAGAAATGTAAGAGTTCTTAGAATTTATTCCATACTTACATTTTGCCACACTTAATTGAAAAAAGGATGATATATACATTATGTGCAAGTATAATATTATCTAGTAACCAAAGTTATAAAATAAATGTAGTGGTGTAAAAAGTACAATATTTGCCTCTAAAATGTAGTGAAGTCAAAATATGAAGTAGCACAAAATGAAAAATACTCAAGTAAAGTACAGATACCTCAAAACTGTACTTAAGTACAATACTTGAGTAAATGTACTTAGTTATTTTCCACCACCGGAAAGTAAATTGGTGGAGCTTTGTAGTTTCTTTTAATTCAGTGTTTTGGTTTTACAGGCTGCAAATTTATTAGACCAGCAGATAGTTAACTATGGTGTGTTAACTGTGATGAACACACCATAATCTATATGTACAGGATATGACTGTGTTTTTCAGGTTGCTGTGGAGTTATTGTCTTCTCATGTCAACAGAAAAAGCCACTTAATGCACTTTAAAACCAGGGGGCTACAAGTCATCATCAGGTCATCCATAGTCTGTCACTATAAATGCATAAATGTGGTGTGTATTTTCCACGTCTTCAGGCAAGCACCTCTTTGTAGATGTAAATCTGTCTGACCTGGTGGTGGGTGTGATCTTGCTGACTTTCTCTCTGCTGGTGCTCTGCTCCTGCCTGGTCCTCATTGTCAAACTGCTCAACTCCATGCTAAAGGGGCAGGTGGCTGCCGTCATCAAGAAGATCCTCAACACTGGTGAGTGGCGATGCACCCTATATATTCAAGCGTAGTGAATTAGATGCATTTGGATTGGTTAGTGGTATATGAATGTTTTGCATGTGTTTGTCTCTGTGTGTGCAGATTTTCCATTTCCATTTGGTTGGGTCACTGGTTACATTGCCATTGCAGTCGGAGCTGGAATGACCTTCATTGTGCAGAGCAGTTCAGTTTTCACCGCAGCCATTACTCCACTTGTTGGTGAGGTCAATGGTTTTTTTCATTTTAAATATCTATCACCTTTTTGCACTGGAAATTCCTAAAATTAGCTGATCTGACTCCTGCTTTTGTTTTGGTATCTTGCTCTCCCTATTTATGAAATTTGAGTGGCATTCAGGCCACAAACAGTCCTGCATTAAAACAACAGAAGGTTACTTTTTAATGTTTGAAATAGGAGTGAAACATGAAATACAATCCAAGAAGTTCAGTTGGAGAAACAGATTTTTTGAGCCTTTAAACTCAAACACTGCACAGCAATTTACAAGGTGCATTTTACAACTCTTGAAAATTACCTTTCATTCTTTCATTCAAGTCTGCACTACATAAGAATGAAACTTGCCCTGCCTCTTTTCAAGTATTTTTTTCTTGCTTACTGTTTACGAGTAGAAATTTTCTGTTCTACCAGGAATGTGTGTTTGCATGTATTTCATTTTCTTGTTTTTTTTTTCATAATTAGTAAGTCTCAAAACTAATTTATGTAACTAATGTCCTGGTAAAATGGGAGTGTAAATGCATACCTGTGTGTGAGAATGTGTAGGTTAACTGGTCTCGCTTTTGGCTGAATAGGTATTGGTGTCATCAGCATAGAGAGAGCATATCCATTGTCTATAGGATCAAATATTGGCACGACCACCACAGCCATCCTGGCAGCCTTGGCCAGTCCTGGAGACAGACTGACTAATGCTCTACAGGTTAGTAGTCGAAACAAAAATGTAGAACGACATGGTTGACTTTTTGTTAGGTTTTATATGCATTTTTTAACTGTTAGGGATACATGATCTACAAGGTAGAGGAAGCCTGTTTAACCTTGTTTATATTTGCATAAACATCATTCTAAATGTATTTACCTGTAGAAGAAATTTGGCTTTTATTATTGAATACTTTTCTTATGCTTGCTTTCATGTTTTGCAACACTAATAAAACCCAAATTAACCCATATAAGGGATATAATCATTTGTAAAATCCCAAAAGGTATTCAGTGCAACTTTGAATTATTTGAATGATTTGTTTGATTGTTTTTCCTAAAAAATAACTACAGTATTAAGCACATAATTTGGGGTGAATTATAAATGAAAACTGGGATTTCTTTGAAAGAACTGCCTCATTTACACCCAAGTAAATATAAGTTTGGGTTGGATACTTTTGGACTCTTGGACAAACTTTCCAGTTTTGGTGTTCAGCTGGCCTGTGATGCAGTTACAGAAAATAAATTGGAATAATTTGTAGGAAGTGTATAAATTAAATGCTGTCATAATCCTATGAGGAAATTCCATAAAAATACAGAATTATGAAATTACATATTATCCACATATACTATGCAACTATACTAATTTGTGTTTATATTTCATAGAGCTCCAAGCTCTTAGTTTATAAGAACAATAATAGATGTAGACCAATACATTTTGTTAATGATTGCTCCAGATTGCCCTTGTGCACTTCCTGTTCAACCTCTCTGGACTCATTCTGTGGTATCCAATCCCCTTCACCCGCATCCCTATCCGGTTGGCTAGAGGTCTGGGCAACATCACTGCGACCTATCGCTGGGTTGCTGTTGTCTACATCATCAGCTGCTTCTTCCTTTTACCACTCTTTGTCTTCAGCCTGTCACTGGCTGGTTGGCAGGTACTGGTAGGTGTGGGTGCACCTCTAGTTGTCATATTGATCATCATCATAGTTATCAATGTGCTGCAGACAAGGCAACCTGGGTGCTTGCCTACAGTGCTGCGATCCTGGGAGTTCCTCCCTCTCTGGGCCCACTCCCTTGCGCCCTGGGATAAAATGGTTGGTGTAATTAGTGCCAAATGCTGTTGCTGCTGCAAATGCTGCCAACTTACTGCAGATGACCAAGAAAACGGAGAGAAAGAATCTGAGGAAAAGAACAATAACCCTCACACACATGTGTATGATAACCCTGCAAAGAGTGATGAAAGAGAGGTAGACAATCAAATGACGATAAACATTCAGAAAATGACCCGGTTGTGAGATTTTAAATATGTGAGTGTGTGTTACCATTTCGCCATGATGCAAAGAAGCATCACAAAAACTACAGTTTCTCTAGTAGATGGGTTATAGATAAGCGTGTTACCAAGCTGATATGAGCACTGATTTAGACTAGTCTTTTAGTGTTGATGGTCAGCAGTGGAGATCTTTGAGTGCACAGCCAGTATTTGTTAGTAGGATCAGATGTTGGTTTTCATCTTTTAATAGGATTTGTGGACAATAAGAAACATGATTTAGAATATCATCAAATATATCCTTTAATATTTGAACTTCTAATTAAAGGACAAATCACAATTTCAAATAAATTATTGAATTTTACATTATGTAAAAATACCATTTACTTTTGTAAATTATTTATATATACACAATATATTTATATACTGTATACTGAACAAAATCAATACTGAAGCTCATAATAAACAGGTATTGAAAGAGCAAACAATGCAAAATGCTTTTGTATTATATGCCGTTGTTAGAATATGAAAAATTCCTGTATATGCCCACGTGCACAAGTATACAGTAGATATAGACAACAAAACCTACTCAGCACAGTGCAGACTTATTTTCATGTTTCTATATTTTTTATCAGGTTTCATCTCTTGTATATCATTATCCTTCTCAATTACAAAAAAATATATTTTACACCTTAAAACGATGCAATGTTTTAATGTGTCAAAGAAATATGTAGCTTGAAATTAGATGAAACATCTAACATAAGAAACATTAAGTTAAACTTATGTCAGACTTATGTCATTGGCTTGTATATTGTTTTCCCATAAAACCAATATCAAAATTTAATAAAAGATTAACTGAAAGACTCATTTAGCTTTTTTTTTTTTTGTCACTTAGCAGAATTATCTAGACTCATAATTTCACATGCTGCTTCATTGGAAAAAAACCCCCCCAATAACCTCTAACCCAGTATTATAGGTATGACTGGAAAGTACCTGTTTCTCTCCTATCAGCGTTACGTGAACATTATCTTGATAAAGCCCTGTGAGTGAACAGTTGACATAAGGAAGAAGCAGAGCTCAGAGTGTTCAGAGTAACATGCCCTATCACAAAAGAACAATACACTTAATATCATCACTATTATTAACGAATTTTACGACGACAATGAAACACTTTTCATATGGTCCGCTGATGCTCTCTATAGGAAATGTTTCACATGCCCACCATCAACTACATCTCTAACTCCAACCCTTAATCTAACCCTAAACCCAATTCTACCCTGAAACCTGCTTTTAAATGCAACTGCTAATCCTTAAATGTAATTACTTTGTTTTATTTACTTCTACATAAAGAGAAAATGTGTGTTACAAGTTTTAAATGAGTGGGAAATATACAACATATAAAATATGCAAATCTACCTAATGTAATTCTGATATTGGCTAATACATTTAAAAATTGAAATATGTTGTATTTTTGTGAAATGTAATATAAAATCTTCCCAGATTACATGATTCTTAAACAGCATGTTATCATTGTCAGGTCAGGTCAAATGTATTGTTCATATTATATAGCCCTGCAACCTTGATTGAAGCTATATGGTGTCTGCAGTAAGTGCAATTCACGATCTATTGCTGCACCCTTTCAAAAGCGAAAGTGTTGATGGCTTGTGCATTATTTGACACACATTTCTGCCTAATTCAGCCTTTGATATTTGGCATCTTTGGAAACTTTGGACTCTGAAGTCGAATTTAAAATTAAAGTCTGTGGGTTTGAACAATGTTTGGCTGCACTACATGAATTTGTAGGAACTGGCTCACCATTATGTTAAAACTGTCTTGAGTTACAACTTACCTACAAGAATATATATTGCTTAATATATCACAGTGATATCAGCCTGTCAGAGGATAAACCAAGGCTGAATTCCCTGGTCATGTCCAGCTTGCTACCTGTCTACCAAGTACAGTTATGCATTGTGTCAATTAGGCTCTTCTGTTCAGATTGCTATTCCACTGAATACACAGTCCTTACTTCTGGGCTGAAATCTGTTTGAACAACACTGTCATCTAGTGACAATTTTGAGAACAGTACAGACTCAGAGCCACTGTTTTCAGAGTATCATTTTTAATAGCAGTAAGAAGCTGTTTTCATAAAAAAAGGTTATGATTAACTACCCTACCGTCTCAGCAACAAACAGCAGAGACACTTTGGAATAAGTTTACAAAATTATTTTCAAGCACACGTTTTTAAATGATATCTTTTAATCTTTGATTAACACAATTATAGACAAAGTGGTGAACATAAGGGAGCCTTTAGTATGAGCTCAAGGGTAAAAGATTTTTTGCTTGTAAAAACATTTTAAGCATGTGTAGAAAAAATTTGTACTTGTAATAATGTTTTTGAACATGTGAACAGAATCTGAAAACAAATTAAGTTGCACAAAGACACTGAAGATAGTTAAGTGTGTTTGTGAACATGTGTGGGGACACAAAGCAACAAATTAAGGGCTCTAATATAAGCCCTTACATATAAGGGACGACAGTGTTATCCCCTCTTGTTTCTGGGATAACACTGTCATCCTTTATGTGGCTGGTTTATCAGAGAAGCTAAAAAGGATCTTTCACAACCACAATATCCCAGTCAACTTTAAGCCAGAGAACACCCTTCGGCAGAGACTGGTCCACCCGAAGGACAAAACACTGAGACACAAACAGAGTGATGTGATGTATGCAATTAAGTGTAGTCAGGAGTGCAATGACTTGTACATTGGTGAATCTAAGCCGCTGCACAAAAGCATGGCTCAACACAGGAGGACCAATCCCAGTGGACCAGAGTCAGCAGTCCACGTCCACCTCCACATGAAGGACAAAGGACAGTGAAGTCCAGATCCTCTCCAGAGAACATCGCTGGTTTGAGAGAGGAGTCAAGGAAGCTACTGTATTTTTGTCCAAATTGAACACCCCTCTCAAAATAGGGGTGGTGGACTGAGACACAACTTGTCATCCATCTACAATTCTGTTTTGAGATCTCTGCCCAAACATTCCCACCCTAATTCACACCAGGACAATAGGCGTCGGTCCACATGTGAGGGTTCACAAACACCGATACCGGACTATAATGACTCAGTCGTTAGAGGACATTGTTGGCAACCAAAGGACTGGAACCGCAACACATCAGTCGTTAGGGGACATTGTTGGCCACATAGGGGGATAAATACCTCCTGCTCACCACCAGTCGGACAGAACTGATGAAGCCTCTTGGGTAAGAGGTGAAACATCTTCTACCCTATGTTTTTTCAGCTTACTATGACGTGGATGACTGAGAACTTGCACTGACATGTTTTAGAGTGTGCTGCAGTATATAACTTTGACTCTTAGCAGCTGTCCAATGTGGGGCAATGAACTTTGATCATTTGTCAAGGTACAGTACCTCACATCTTCCCCCTGCTGTGTTACATTGCATGTACCTGGACACTTCCGCAGATATGAAGCCTTCTCCAGTCATGGAGCTTGTGAGTTGCAACACAGTTACCTTACTGGAGAAATCTTCATAACTGTTGAAGTGTGTATGACAGAGTAAGATGTGAAGTACTCTACTTTGACAACTTCACCGTTGACCCTAGCAGAAGGGATTTCCCATCTTACCCCAAACTTTGGCAGCTGGGTGAGCTGGGATGGACTGGCTGAAAAAAGAGAGGGTTTGTTTAAGCCTTATTTGATTATATTTAATACTTGATTATATTTAACATTCATTTGAAACCAAAACTTGCCTGTCAGTGTATGTCCTCAAGAAGCCTGTTGTAAGATTCTGGATGCTCCCTCTGTGCGGATGATTGTCACTTCGTGGCCAGGCAATCTGGTCGAGGATTGCTAAAGGAGGAACAGCAAAAGCTTGCATTTAAAGCATGACATGTTTTGTTTTTCACACATTTACTTCATTTTGTACAAAAGCGTATGATGTCTTTTAGCTTTTCTTTAGTGAGCACACTTTCATATTGCTGAGTAGACACTGCAAAATTTCAAAATAAACTTTCTATTAAGACAAAACTGTGGGGAAGAAGCAGACTAAATATTAAGATGTCATCTCACCGCATGATGAAGTAGCCACCTCAGATTTACTGGTGGCTAAAAAGACAACAACAACAAAAAAAAAGAATTTTAACAATTCCCATTTTTCATTTGCCCTCACTTTCATGGAACAGATTATGCCGTTTTTTTGTGTCTTTTACATGAAATTTATCTGCAGCTGTGAAGCACCACCCAGATTTAAGCATTGAAGTGAAAGAATGCTAAATGTATTTTTTTTGGAGAAACTATGCACAACAATTAGAATGTATTTAATATAAATATTTAACAATGTTCTGAATTATTTAGTATTACTCACCATTTGAATTGTCTAGATGTCAATCTCTGTCTGCTACATGATGTTTTGTCTTATTTTCTTCATGGGATTGTTTGGTTCCATGTTCTAGACGATGTAACCAGCAGGTCTTCAAGTGCACTGTATTCATCAACAAATAAATAAATGCACTGTGCAATACATATATGACCTGTGTTGAATGCATTATGTTTTCAATTTTACAGTGACATTAACTTGCCTTTCACAACAGACTGGCAGGGGGAAAAAACACATCTCTTGAATAGTGGTTGCCAAAAACAGGACAGGCAGGCTGGGGAAAAACAAGAAGTGTCATGTACACTCACTGGCCACTTTATTAGGAACACCCATACAACTGTATACACTTCCTCCTTATCTGTTTATGAAGCTCAATGTATAAATTCACATACATTTATTATTGAGGTCATAGGTTAAAGGTGGTGTTGTACTGTACTACATTATATTTAGAGGTCTCTATTTTTGTCCTCCCCAGCTACATTCATGAGAGGGTCAGAATATTAAGAACACCTCTGAATATAATGCACTTCACTACACCACCACCTTTAACTATGACCTCAATAATAAACTTAGTTGAATTTATACATTTATGACAATTTCACCAAAAACATTGTGAACTTCATTAACAAATATGTTAAGACAGAAGTGTTGCACTGAAGTGCATACAATTATACAGTTGTACCTAATAAAGTGGCCAGGTGGCTGAATCTGTATAAAGCACAGTTAGTCCTACTGTTGTGCATACTGCCAAAATATAGCAAGTGAACATGAGTAATGATCAAGTATTACCAAATACTAGTACAGTCCCAATATAATTCTTTTACAAAGTGAAACAAAAATATGTTAGCAGCTCTGTAGGTTTTGAACCTAACATAAAATCTAGATTCAAAATTTCATTTGAAGCAAACATGGATGAGAAACTCTATTGGTAATACGCAATTAAATGTACCAAAGAATGGGTGAGCATTCATATGGAAGCTCAGCATACAAGCTAAATGATGTTTAACCATTATTTGGCCCCAAAGAGATCAGGCCAAGCATCCCTGAATCTTATCCTCACCCAAGCCAAGAGCAGATATGTGGCTTGACACACAGCATTCTGCATTGTATTTGTTCAGGTTAAACAGTGGCTGGCTCAACTGGCTTGGAATGGCAATCATCTCTGAGAGCCGGGTCCACTCGGTTATCCAACCACTGATGCTGGTCTACCAAGACTGTCAATCAGAACAAAAATATACCAGTAACAACCCTACTGAGTCATTAAATATTATCAGCAATGCCAACACAAATTCTGTGTGGGTGTAGGAGTGAAGGCAAGTCTTCAGGGTCATCAGGCGGGCAGCCTCTCACTAACTGGTGTTTTATTGAGATGGGCCCATGACACCAATAGGCTCAATAGTGTGTTCCAGAGGCCTGCCTCATTGATCAAACATTTGTAAACAAACCCATCCTCCTTGGCCAGTTTGCCTCAATTTAACAGCTATGTTACACACATGTTAGAGCTTACAATTCAATCTGCTCTACTAGTTTTGCTCTTACCTATCTTTGCCCTAGTGGCACGTTTCTTCTCCTAATTCACCTAAAGTGTCGCCCTGCAATTACACTGCCAAAACGCTAGATGGCAGTGGGGTTTCTATGCCAAAGTTTTGTGTTTCTTTGCCACTTGCTAACAATTGGGACTGAAACTGGGAATGGTAATATTTGAGTTAAAACTAAAAGACGTTGAACAGCAGTTACTTTTACTGAAATTACTGCAATGCAGACAAGACGCTAGAGGAGATTGTCTGCCACCGAGAGACATTAACACAAAAATTAGGCAACAAATCACCACATGTAGTTACATTTCTGGAGAGGTGCACTTCAGGCTATGGGCAGGCTATAGGGTGTCATACTAACAGCATAGATTCAACTCAGAACCATAAGTCAAGCTTAATAGAGGGGTAAAAAATAGACCTACCAATAAAACCTCTACAGCCAACCCCCACTGGGTGGCTCTGAGCTTTCCAGCCAAGCCCCTCTGCCTCTATAGCCAGTTCTGTGTATGAGTTTTTTTCCTTTCATAAGCTGTTTCTATAGCGTCCTCCCAGAGACCTGTAAACTCCATAAAATACAGTCACCTGCTTTTCTGACCACAACACAAGATCTGGTCTCAGATTAGTGCTGACTGTCTCCTCAGGAACTATGAGCTGATTTCCTGAATTTACTTTCATTTGGCAGTCAGGGTAAGACACCCCCTGGTAATTGAAAGCTCAACAAAAGCTAGTGAATACACCTCTCACTGTATGTGAGATGAATGTGTCACCTACTTTTATGTACCTTATACCACACTGCTACTTTTATTCATGAAAAAAAAAACTACTTCCTTTGTACAAAAAAACAATACAATAAAACATCACCGCACACTGCATCTCAAAAATGTCCACACAGAGCATCTCGAAAGACAGAATTTAATTTTACAAATATATGTCTGAAATTTTACCAGGTTTTCTATTGTTCTGGTGAACTTACCTGTCCCCATCTTAATAAATGAAGTGTCAATTTGTTCTTGAAGAGGGACAATGTAAATGTTTTTCCCCATTGTTGTCGACCGTCTTCAGCATCATGGCTCTGTAGCTGTACATTCCCTGTGCCAACAGAGACGGGCTCCTCTGGCCACTGCCACCTTGAACAAAGAATGGGAGATATTACATGAGCAGCACAAGATGTTACTGTAACTAAGAACATGTCACAAAATATAATAAAAAATTTTTTTACAATTAAAATATAAACAGCCTTCGTTTGAAGAGCACATTTGTCTGTGTGTTTAGCATTTACTACAATATTTGACTATCATGGGTACTTAGCAGTGAATTAACTTCACGTTTGTGTGGTGGTCTCCCTTTGTCATTAAGTTCTTTTAATTTTTTTTTAAACCATTACTAGTCTCCAATACCTGCAGCTTTATCCAAAAGCCATCCCCCAGTTAGTCTTCATTTCTGGATCCTCATAAAGACCTCCAGCAATCTAGACTTGGAATTAAAGTTTCCATATAATTCTCTCCATGGGACACCATTCTTTAATGTGAAGTTACTTACTGATATTTTTGACATAATTACACCCTGCATTGCTTCCATTGTCAACAAAACCTGCTGACATTTTGAATCCGAGTTAAATATTAGCAAAATTGGCTTGACTTCAGTCTAAATGGAGGCTCTATCTTATACAGAGGTGGCAGAACAACTCAACACTTACGTGAAAGTGCAAGTACTTGTCTAAACAGTTACTCCACTTTAAAAGTTTCTTGCTAGCAGAGTTTTGCTAACGCTCCATATTAGCATTCGCGTCTGGCAAACGCTAGATAAAGTCGCCTACCTGAACTCGAAAATACATTAGAATAACAGCTAAGCACCTGCGCGCTGCGATTAACCTTTTTATTATTATTATTATTATTATTTTTTTTATGATTTCCTACTTCTAGCCACCTGAGTAGCAAATAAGGTCAGTTATTCATCTACTTTTCAGGACCTGCAGTGCAGGGTGCGGCGGAGACAAATCACGTGAGACTCAACTCCCCCTCTGAATGGACAGTTGGACTCTGCTCTGTGATTGGATTGTCATTATCCAATCACATTTTTGTTAGTGCGATGTTGCTGCTTTCTATCCCTACATAAATGTTCACAAACGTATTTACTTATTTGCAGTTTTTATGTAACATAATTTGTTTACAGATTTTATTCACATATTCAAAAAAGATTTTACAGGTACAAATCTTTTCTACACATGATCCAAATGGTTTTACAAGTACAAATAGTTCCTATTCACATTTAAAATGTTTTTACAAGCTCAAAGTTGAGAGGATGGTGGCCAGAAACATGTTTCCAAATGACTGATAATGTTAATAAGTTTGCCATATCAACTCAGTTCTATTGGTATAGTGCCATTCCTTACAACAGTGAGTACCATCAGAAGATACAGAAGACAATACAGCAGTCTGACAAACAAAATAATTTATTTTCAAACCCAGAGGCAATTTGTGGTTACAGTCAATACAGACATTCGATGTGCATTTTTAAACACACTGTACACTACCACTACATTATTGCTAAAACTACAGCACCTCTAAGAACTCATGAATACACCCACTAATTACTAGAACTACAACGACTACAGCTAGACTAAAGCACGATATAAAAACACATAAACACATATATTAATATACAATACATTTGTACTTGTGGCACTATACTATAAGATACTATAGTATAATACTGTAGATGTGAAGAATAATTTAAACTTGTGTGAGCTACAACATACTTCACAGGCTTGTGTTTCCATGTGCCTTTCTGTGAAAGCCTGGAAGAGGCCTTTTCATACAGGACCTCTAAAGCTGGTCACCGTGCAAGAATTTGTGCCAGAGGGAGAAAAACAAATCTTAGCATCATGAGCCAAACCCATTATTTGTGATTGTCTGCTCCTTGCCTGGATTCAGGGGAACTGTTGCACTGTTTTATTACAAAAGGACAGATTAAAGAGTTCAAAAGAAAAGTCTTTAAGTTAGAAGGGAACGGGTCCATAGTAGGCGTTATAAGCAGCAACGATACCTGCAGTATCAGCCATTTCATCACAGGCGACGTTCAGCTCACACACCTCTCTCAGGCTGGATGGCAGAGGAGAGAAATCAGGTTATCTAACTTGTAGCAAACAAGTGTCACTTTAGACTGGATGCTACATTTTAGTTCTGAGTTGTGGTTTTTACACCAGAATAAAAGATAAATTGATGATTTGCACTTAGGAAGGAACTTAGCAGCAAGCTGTTAGCATTAATGTGTAAAACTAATAGCCAAATAAATGGCAGTAAAGGTCAAGCCAAACATCTGGTAATCGAGTGTACAAAGTATAATGTTGCTAAGTGACTCAGTTTTATCCAATTAGAATAAATAACTGTACCTTTCCAGCTGCACAGGGGAGAGGTTTTCTCCTGGGGCAGCTCTCCTCTGCCTGAGGAGAACAGCAGCCAGATCCCTCTTCATAACCACCTGAGAAGCTGAAGGGACAAACATCATAAACTCAGACCTTCTTGAATTTTCTTGTTACACAGTCAGATATGAACTTTAAATCTAAAACCATCGAGAGACTTTTTCAGGAAACAAGAATATTGCTTACCCTCATCACTGGCTGACTCTGATGAAGATGAGGAGGAGGAGGAGGAAGATGAAGTGGCAGAAGAGTCGGAAGCAGAACTGGACTCAGAGGAAGATTCAGAAGACTCAGAAGAGGATGATTCGGAGGATTCAGAGGAGGACGATGAATCGGAAGTTGAGTCAGAGGAAGAGTTGGAGTCAGAGGCAGAATCGGACTCAGAAGAGGAGGAAGAGTCTGAAGTGGAGGAGGAATCAGGGGCAGCAGTTGCAGGGTCCTCGGGTGCAGCTTCAGCAGCTGTATCAGCAGCAGGATCAACCACAACCTCTGGTTCAACAGCTGATTACAGAAAATAACATTTGTTAAGCATACTTTAGCCACTTATATTTTTCCAAATAATAGAGGGCAAAATTTGGAGTCACGGCACTGATAAGGTGAGTTTGTCCTTACCTCCCATGGACCAGCACACTGCCAGGAGTGCGCAGATGGAGAGGAGAGTCAGAGCCTTCATGATGCCTTGTGGTTAGTTTCTTCTTCCTTTGTTTCCTTCGATGGTTTTCTCTGTTTCTTTCCCCAAAGTTAAGGCCAATATATACTGTAGTCCACCCTCTGTATCAGACTAAACCCAGGCTATGAAAACTCTGATTGGTTGGGGAATCAGATGTCAACATTTCCGCTTCCACTTGTCATGAAAGCTCCTATAAACACCCACGCAGCCCCTGGCACAGAGTCCAAAAAACCATGCACCTGCACACAGACTTAGACCGCAAACATTCCTGACATTCAACTGTACATACAGTGCATGGTACTGTATGTAAACCTTGACTTAACATTAACGTCACTTTGCACTAATTGGATTCATCTCCTTTCTCTACAAACTTTCATATATGCCAATATACTCTCACATAAAAGGCTCTTCAGGAATATTTACATTGTTATTCTAAGACATTTAGGGCCTTTAATAAAATTCCAAATTAAATGACTAAAGTTATACTTCAGAATAGTTTCTCTCTCTGGAGTTTGGATGAAGTGAATAGTATGTTTGTTATGTTTTCTCAATAAAATGCCAGTGTTTCCCTGTCAATCATTTTCTGAGGTCAGACCGATCATTTTTATACTTGTTTTATTTACCCATCCTGTACATCCCCTACAAATTCCTTTCTTTCCTCACCCTCCATTACTGGAGTATAAATAACACAACAAGCCCAAACCAGTGGTGTCACACATTTATATGAAATACTCTATATCTGGCTATCTGGCTTATAAGCAGGGAGACCCACTGCAAGGCTGCCAGTTTGGTCATTGTTGTTATGTTAGCGTACTCCTTGCCCCAGATGTGATCTCCCACCCACACAAACCCCAAACTATAGCCTGATCTGGCCACAAGCTACTAATCGAGTCACACAGAACAGCAGTGAGCCTTGTTATGTGACAGAGCTTAATTAGAGTGTCGCAAAGTTCTACCAGAACCGCAGTCAGTCACTATTTACAGATCCATTTTGGTCCAAATCCTGGACAGATCCAAACAGAGCCAAAGACAGCCAGTGACCCAATGTACAGCCTAGCTTGATGAATTTCAGCATATACAGCTAAGTATAATCAAACCCCATGGGGTGAATGCATGGCGTTCTCCATGAGGTTTTGGATCCAGCTGTCTGTTTGTGCAATATGGTTTAAGTGTGGCTTCAGCTGTGGTTTTCTGATAAAATTGGATTTTGCAACTTAGACCTAAACCATATTGTAACCAAACATTTATGCACACATATCACTTCACTTACTGAATATATATATCCCAGTGGGCTCCCAGACAGCTTCATCTGTCATGTAGTGAAAAATGCACTGTTGTTGCAGAGTGGCCTTAGTGTGTTTTGTGTTTCATAGTCTGCCATTATTCCTGGGATCAAAGGTTTGTTTTGGATCGTGTGCCATGTAATTTCAATGTCTGGTCCAGTGTTCATTTTTGTGGATGCACATGGGGGAAAGAAAACGATGGGCACAACATCCCCGGGTTGGCCGGAAGTACAGTGTCTGTGGCACTTCTGCTTTGGATCTTTTTGTTTTTGTCACTGGAATCATTTCATCTAGACAGTGAATAATTCTCACTTTGTTTTTGACAGATCTATGAATCTACAGTTTATTGAATTATTGAAATTATGTCCTGTTAACTTATGTGGTTTTTGTTTTTATTATTAGTCTTGTTCACCTGTGTGTTTTTTGGGGGAACAATAGTTATTTCTGTATTGTGAAAGCACAATTTTGTCATTTCATGATTTTGATTCTCGAGCTTTTCCACTTTAAAAATGCTGCCAGTGAACAGGGGAATTATCTTTGTTTTTCATTTTTAATAACAGATTTCTACCCTTCCTTCACATCATTCTGGGAACATCTACAACAATCCACACAGGGAACTATCACAGACACAGACACGTTTATCAAATGACCTTGAGGTGAGCTGACAATCTCTGGTTAGAGAGGTCAATCCTGCTCAAAACCTTTTAGAAGCTAAAATCTCTGTACTGCTGCCAGTTGGAGGGTTGGGCCTACAAATTTTGTGTTGCGTTTGAAAGTAAGAGAGCTACTGTACACTAATCTGTGCAGACTGATGCAAAGCAAAAGCAAAAATATTCCCATTTGTTGGTGGTTCTTTTGCTCCTTCGGTGCAATCTAATGAGCTTCAAACTGCACTACACAATGTTTAATTTTCTTAAACGCATCAGGATGTATTTTGAAATCCTGAGGATGTCACCAGTTACAGACTATACTGGACTTGTATTACATACAGTATACTTGCTGCTTACATATTAGACTAGTTTACTTTCAGATGAAGATTTATGATATTTCCTCCTTGGGATTGTAGGAATGAAACTGCTACTCACAGCAGGACCCTGAAATCTTCTGTGGATTTACTGTGAGTTTGAGCAGGAGATGAAGTTGCAGCCCTAACCACTTCAGATGTCAAGAGAGAAATGCTCTCACCATCAGCCTTACCAACAGTAGATTTAACACCTAGTGTACAACAGCTGCAGTTACAGAAGACTGTTCTCATAGTGTTTGCACATCACCAGCGTCAAACAGTAATGTGGTACCTGTATCTAACATAAAACACATCCTGAGTATCCCGGGGAAAATCTTGTTCTCCTGTGATTGTGCTGCATTATTGTCCTGTGTATAATTTTCACTTTTTCAAGCTCAGAATAAATGACAAATTTAGCTTTGTTTCCCATTATTCCTATTGATAAGAATATGAATAGTAAGAATAGAAAAATTCACCACTGGATGCTAATTTTGATTTTAGGGCAAGTGTTTTCAAGTATGTGAACCTTGGTTCTGTACCTAAAACAACCAAAATATACAAATTATAAATAACACAAATGCTTATTAAATCATATTTTAATCACTGGCAATTATTGACAATATAATTTAAGGACACATTAATATTTTGGAGCTAACTATGGGATAAAGAGTCACTAACTTTACAATTGGCCCCATAACATTAAACACACGGTCATGTTGGTCACCCTAGTCATCAGCTCTTTGTGTAACATTGTCTCATCTGTGAGCTGTCTTAGTTGCAACTATAAACAAATTCAGCTGGTAGGCAACATGCACTGTATATTTCCATCTGGTGCCTGAGAACAGTCCACCTGCCAGGCCGTCCCTGTATCCGCTTGGCAATACAACACCATTAATTATACCGATCCCAGTCTATGTCTTGAAATTCCCTTCTTGCTTGAAAGAACACTTCAGGGACAAACACAAACTTTTTCCATTCTTGATGTCTAGAGAGAGTTCTTTTATAGAGTTTTTAGCCTTTATTGTTAGATACAATCTCTTTTAGCCCAATATGTCTGCAAGACAAATATCTTTAAGTTCAGATGCCGTTGGTTCAACGGTGTGTGTGGTTACTGTGTGATTTCTTTTTTAAGGGTTGCCATATTAGTTTATCCTGCAAAGATGATGTTTTTCACAATATTTACACACATTTTTATCCAGAATAAATCATACAAGAAGCTACTATTAACTACTGTGTCTAAACTGCCTGCATTGCTGTCTTCTCAGCCAGCTCTCTGTCAGTCTCCGTGAGGTTGCTGTGTTGTCGTTCAGACAATAACATTAGCAGACAAACCAAGAAACTCGGCCCGACCTCGGTGACTTCTGGCCTCTGGTTGGCTAACCAAACCACAGACGGGCTCACACTCGCATAGAAAGAGAAAACATAACATGAGGGTAAATAAGTGAGGACATATGATATACTGTTGCTTTCTGTATCTTTTCGCTGAAATGAAGTATATTAAGGGGAAAAATGCTCAAACACATAGTCACAGCATAAAGAATTCATATCAGTATCTGTTCACATTTAGTTTTTATTCGACAAATATTAATGAATTCACACTCTACCAGTCCTAAAGTTCTGTTTTGGCTTCTGCTCCGGCCTGCTTCACCTCCTGCGAAATGAAAAAGGTGAGTGTGATGAGTGAATTACAACAGATATGAAACAGCGTACAGTGTAAACACTAAGAGTGTGAAGTATATTTATGTTTTCTGTTTTCACAGATATAAAGTGTGCTCTTGGATTGCTCAAATTAGGAAATGCTTCAGTTTAGGAATTAATTCAACCAAGCCTTGCACATTTCAGTTTGTTTAGTCTCTGCTTTATTTCAGAAAAATATTGCACTTTTTTAAATGTTTCAGTTATAGATGCAGAAGAGGAGAATTTAAAAATCACATTTGGTGCAAATGTTCACATCTGTTTTGGATTATCTGTGATACTGGTGTATCAGCAGCAACCTAAGGTGAATGATAAAAGAAAAGCACATCTAGAAGCAGAAGCAGCTGTGATGGAGTGTGAAGAGGGTATTTGAAGGATGTACAGCGCCATCAGTTCGACAGTTTCCTGTTTTTTGTGTGGCACATACACTTTATAGTGACAATAAAACACTTTTAATCTTGTACATTACTGGTGTGGTCCTGCCGGTTTCCTTTCTGACAATTTCTTGAGCATGATCACCTGTTTCATTTAGTTCCTTCTTTGCTTCTAAAATTTTTTATTGTGCTGCTTATTTTAAATTACTAAAGCTGGCTGATTTTTGTGTTTTAAACTGGAAATCAATCTATATTTTACAATAAAATAGGTCCTTTGGAAACAATGACTAACAGCTGTTACCAGATTATCCAATTATTAGTGGTGACACATTTTTAGACAAACCATAATGACTGCCCACCTTTAGTTCTCCTCGGAGGAAGGACTGGCAAAATTCCTGTACTCGTTCAGTAGAAATCTCTCCCTCAGGTAGCAGCCACTTCATGTCTGAGTCACCGTCGTAGATGCCAACGCGTGGGAGGTCTCCAGACGTCAGGCCGAAGTAGCCGAGTGATTGAGAGCTGGACTTCAGTGCTCCATTAATCAGCACAAACAAAAACTGGAACACAGGCTCAGTTTGAGTTAAAGACTTAATTTAGCTGATTATAGATTAGCTCAAGTAACCACAGATATGTAGCCTTTTCTGGAGTTTTATATAAATCATTTAGTTGTATTTGATTTGTGGTCGAATATGAATCAACTGGGGTTCGGCAGTGTTCCCCAAAATAACTAAGACTTTTTAAAAGCAAAGAGAATGTAATTACTTAATTAGCACACACATTTATTGATATTTCTATCACATTTATGTCATTGCTTCCCAGTTGTACACAACAATAATTCCTAGAAGGACAGCTAATCAATCAATGCAACCTGGGCCTATGTATAGATTACTGAACAGGTCTATGCAGCTCAGGTAAAGGGCTAGGAAGTGATTGTTAATATTTCTTCTTTGCATGTCAGAGAGCTCACTTAAAAGACTAAAGACTGCACAGACACAGACACGGGGGGCATCTATTTGCCTCATGATCTGTCCCTGTCTGGACTGGATAAGTGTCTCTGTACAGCTAAATATTATAACTACTATAATGTTAATGTTTATGGCATCATGCAAGAAAAAATATTCACAACTTTTGTAAACAAGTTTTTAAGAATTTCTAAGACCTTTTTTGAGGGAACTAGTGCTTTTTAAGGACATTCCAGACCTGACAAAACACATCATAACCCTGTTTTCCTTCAGTTTGCTAGATATAGTACACTATATATGGGAACTTTCCCAACCTGTAAAATGCATAAATTTATTTAAAACTGTTGTTTTGGAAGTGAATCGAGTTCATGGATATCCTCACCTTGCCTGTGAACTCAGGTGCCAGAGCTCCCAGTCGCTCCTTGAGTTCACTGTACTCTTTACTCCCCCTGTTGGCAAAGAGCAGGAGGTGCGACTTCACCTCTGAATTGAACAGCCCCACTGCTGTCTGAGAAGAGAGACAACAACATAGTGAGGGCTAAGACGGAAAGCATTTTTCTTTGCTTTCTCCTCATTGTCTACATAGCATTTACCTTCAATAAACATTTTTAAATAACAGAAGAAAAGCTTTATGGAATAAATGACAAGAAAAAACAATAGATGCAGGCTGGACCCACCACTTGGCTGTATTCTGTGATGTACCGGACCTCGTTCATGCTGATGAAATTTACAAGACCATCGGTGTCCAACTTCTTGACCTCAGCAAGAACAAGATTCTCCTGGTGGTTATCTGCCTGGATCACATAACACACATCTACATTATCAATATCGTCACCTTCATACAACTGATTTTAGCCATAACATTTATTATTTAAGAGATCTCTCTTAGAAATCAGTCAGTCATGGTGCTGTAGAATACCTTTCTGAAGAGGGTGATAGTGTGTGAGGAGAGGCTGTAATCTTCCCACACCTCTTTCACAGTGCAAATGGCTACAGGGACTGAGTCAACTCGTTTTGCAGCTGCAACAAGTTCCTTATAGCCGGGACTCTCCTCTCCCTGAGATACAAGAGTAAAAGAGAGAGAGTTATATAAAAAGACTATATCTCATGTTATCATCAGTAATTTTTTCCAGAATTTGTTTTTCTTTCATTCGTAGTCTTAGTCTAGCCTCTGTAAATGTTATCCCTCAATAACATCCAACATTTTCATGTATAATTCTAAAACTAATAAATGTAGAAGAAAGACTTTCAGAAGCACAGGTGGCAGAGAGAGATGGATAAACAAGTGAATTACCGTTTACTAGGAAAAGAAATGAGGCCAACTCAAAGGATGGTGAATCATGTCTATTTCTGAAACAGCACTGCACGGGCTCTGGCAACCCATTTTATTATTTTGAAGTCTATAATATGCTCATAGTGAGTCTCAGCACTAATATTTTGATTTCTTCCTGCCTTCAGCATCATGGTTCAACTACAGTATGTGCTCTCCTGCTCTCTGCCACTCTGCTCTCATGAACCTTTTCCCTGCCTCTGCGCTTGTTTTCGAGCAGGTCAACGGAGCCAATCCCACAAATTTTCAGATATGTCCTGTCAAGTGCCCCACCATCTTCCCCCGCACACAGAGTCTGGCCAAAAGGTTTGCCTCTGTGGGACAGCTAGCCACCCTCTGTCCTCACAGCACCAGTGCTGCCAAAGGTGTGGCTATGGGAAATATATCCTTCTTCGAAATCTATTTTTGACAGCAGCATCTCCAAGACCGGGGTGCAAACAGATGCTGTGTTTTTGGAGCTTTCACAGTCTCAGTGAATTTGTCTGATCATGTCTGGTCTGCTGCGTGCATGTTAACAGAAAAAATAAGTCATAAAATAGCTCCTGAGGGCTTCTTTTAGAAGATGGCTAACAGCATATCTGAGCACACCTTAACACTATATGTAATTTTCTTAACTGACCTCCAGGAATCCAATGACTACTACTTCAGCAGAGTTGATGAAGGCTTCAGTAGCTGCGGTGTCGTTCAGCCTGGGAAGAGTACTGTCTGAAAAACAGACATGTAATACACTAGAAGCACAGTCCAAATGAGGTGCAGTTGCAGTCATTGTCCCAACAAAACTAATTGTCTACAGCAATGCCAGCAGCTCTGTGAGACTACTTAGGCACAGTAGAGCTTTGAGCTAAATGTTAACATCAGGAGGTTACCAGACTCAATTTACCTTTCTCTTTGGCAATGGCAGAAGACACCAGGAAGGCGAGAAACAGAGCAATCAGCATGTTTTAACTGATTTGGCTGACACAGATGCAGGGAAACAGAAGAAAAACCAAGCAAAAGCCGTTTGTACAGAGTCACCCGTCACCTCTGCTCTGTCTCTGACAGAAAGTAAAGTTGCAGCTGACCGTGGCTGCTGCACATTTCATGAGATGTGATTGGAAGCTTCATGGGAACCAGCCAGATGTTCTTGATAAGCTGGGATGCCAGGATGTAGGATTACGTGTCACTTAGGGCAGGAGACGGGTATGTGCCTGCACTGTGGTGTGGTGGCAATCTGAAGCTAAGCGGGCAATCACACACCTTTAGCCATCTTGATGTACAGTATCTAGTTAATAGCATCTTCTCAACAGCTGCTGCAGCGTGTTACATAATTGTGTTGCAGGTGGGAATCTCTGCTGAAAAAGCAGCTTGGTTAATACTCATGCTGGGGATGCTGTAAAAGCAACTGAGGAGCCTTGTGTGACCTGTGCAGATCAGAGATCAACTGGGCTGTGCTTAAGTGCACGAGTCACACGGTTCCTACATTTTCATTGCCACACAGACACCCGAGAAGGTGCATTTTAAATTACAGCTGGTAAATGATGTTTAGGGCTTAGTATTTGGAAACAAAGTTTGAAATCTATTTATTTTATGCATACGTGTTAATACAAGAAGATAGAAAACAAGATGTTGTGACTGAAATTTTTACTTTAACATATTGTAGCTTAATTTTTTTTATTTACCTTTTAAAGGGTCTTATAAAATAAAATCATTACAACCCTACATTCAGTGAGTGTAAAGAGAAAAAGTAACGATAACATCTCAGTACACAGACCCATACTGAAGGAAAACCTATGAAAAGATTTGATCAAATCAAATGAAATTACAAACCTTTGTAAATGCTATGAAAATGAACTCTGAGGTGCAGTGGGGGATTTTTCTATATTGTTAAATAATCACTTACCATTTAATACAATACAGCCATAAAATCAAGATTTTTTTTTTTTTTACATAGAATAAATCCACATCTTTAAGTGAATGTTGTGATGTCAAGATTTTTTTTTCACATTTAGTATTGATTAAAGGCCATAACATTATCAATAATAACTGAAGCTTTTAAAATATAAAACTGTCAAATGAAGAAAACACACAAAACAATTTTCAGACAACTAGTTAGAACGACAGAAGCATGCAAAGAGCAGCTTCCACAACCACCACAGAAATGTTGTCTCGATGTTAACTCCTGGCAATACAAGCCATATTTGAAACACAGCAGAGGGGTTCAGGAGTGTTATGCCATTTAGTATTATGTAATACAAAGTTTTAAAAGGAGAAATCACTTTTAACCGCTTTAAAAAAAACATTTAGTGAAACTTTTTAGGTATTTTTATTAATTTGTCTTGTCACGGAGATCAAAGCAAAGCTAAAAGGAGAGCAAATATCAGACTTAAATTCATTAGCTGACCAGAAACAACTCCAAATATATGATGATATTGCTCTACATCTGCTGGATGTTTTTAACACGATCACTCTATACACTAAGTTTCTACTGCCTGCATGTACCAAAGAAATTGGTTGTGGGTTTGATAACAATCAGCTGTTATACTGGGTAAAATAATGTGAGAAACAAAATCATGCTCACTCATTTTACTAAATAAATTATATACCAAAAGAAAACATCACATATTTGATCACAACAAAACATTTTATATGGACATTCAATAACAAAAAACATAATGGCAGTCAAGGGGAATATAGACATGACAAGACTGGTCATGGAGAAACCATAACTGTGAAGAATGGCCACGTAATTCACTATAGTATTAATACAGTGGCAAAAAAAATGAAGCTGTCTCATGTTGTGTTGTGTGAGAGCCATTTTGTTTGTCAGTAGGCCCTTTTTGCCAAACAGCACTATGCTCTTTGTTGTATTAACTAGCTTCAAACTGCTAGTTGCCTGTCACTCTCCACAGAGTTTAGTGGTAAAGAAGAATGAAACTGGGCTCGGCTGCAGGAGTCAAATATAAAAGACACAAGATTCATGCAAAACATTTTTTTTTTTTTTT